TGAGATATAGGGACATGAAGTTAGAAACCTGAAAAACGTGCGGGAAAACAGCTTCAAGAGGTCCAGAGTCCTAAATAAAATACATAAAAATATGATATCTTCAAGGACGACCTACTATAACAACGAACAATACATATGGAGGATTAAGATGTGATAATACAAAGGGGAATCAGGGAATATGAACGAAATTCACGAAAACCACTAAACTACGACGGACCATGGCAGGAATTTTAGGGAACGATATTCTAATGAGGCGGAGAGCTATAACACATTTGTTTGAGTAATTCTTGACTACTAGCAACTTTTTCTTTCAGTTTTAAACCTGAATAATTCACTCATTTACCATTTCAGTCTCATTTTAACTAAATGTCACTAAATAAAAATGGAATAAATCAGCTGAAGGTCTCAGCACAGCCGTATGCATAGTAATGCGAAGTTTGAATTCAGAATCATCGAGTCATAGCAAATTTAATGGTATATATAGGGAATTTGAAATAGGTAACTGCGGCAAATGCAGTGCAGCCAAGTTCTAATTAGCCATTAAAATAGCTTAGGTGAGGGAGGACAATAAGGATTCTAGGCGCAGTCTGACCGCAGTAGAACCGCAGTTCAGCACAGCAAAAGTGCAGTAGAACTATAGCGTGAAAATTTCATTTTGAGAAAAATACACTGTAAATAAATCCTGTAAATAGAAGGTAGAGCGTGAAAAAGGAAGGCGACCCAAGGAGTATAAAAGGGAGATCCTTTCTGCGACTTTTCGCCCCCCTCAGAGAAGTAAGAAAATAGAGTATTATTTTTCTCAAGCATTTCTGGTTGTCACTCCAGTGCGAAAAAGTGATATACAGTTAAGATTGCCACTGTAGTAAAAGGCAGCAATTAAGGAGAGAAATATTAAGTAGATGTTTCAACAGGAGAGCTGGTTAACACTCCAGATTTCAAAGTGTAAACACAAAACAGTTATCTTGCTACTGTTAAAACAAGCAATAAAATAAGACAAAAATAAAAAAAACCCAAGGGACACTCCAGACACAATCCAAATTCATTAACTGAATATAATCTTTGAAACTTCACCAAGTAGAAGATTAAATTCAAGTTTAAATCCAAATTAAACAACGCTACTCAGAATTACACCTAGACAAATTAAGAAATTTCAATAAAGAAACAGCTCTGCAGGGCTCGGTTTATCTGTAAGTCAATTCCCAGGAACTTTAAAACTAACCCATAAAAATAGAATTAGCCAAAACACTCGGATTGGTACTATATTTACAATAAATAATACTAGTACACTTCCCCATCCTAACTAAAGAACCAGGGAACAGCTTGGTGGTGGTCTCGTTTGAACCTCCCAACTGACCTTCCTTCATTCTCTCCTTCAGCGCCCCGCAAATGGCAGGTCACAAACTCACTTAGGTTATATGGGGGAACACACGTATTTTTGACATCAAGAACTGGAAGTGGAAAGACAATGCTAATGTTTGCTTCTGTGCTTGCATGCAAAGTTATGAATGGTCGCCACATGGCAATCGTAATTTATCCTACTTGTTCACTGATGGATGACCAAGTATGTAAGCTAGATATACTTGTCCCTGAGCAGAGGCACTCACTTTGCTGTTGTGTGATTAGGAAGTCAAAGTGCAATCTAAAGGGTTGCAATACATCAGGAATCAATTGCTGCCGCTCTACATGAGGACCCACCCAGAAACCTCTGGGCCGAAGTTCTATCCGGCCGGTTTCACATTGTTGCCTGTGCACCAGAAAGGATCGGCACTGCGGATTTTAAATGGATGGTTAACTCACATCTGTTCATGTGTCAGGGGACGGCTCCCGGGTCCCCATGACCCTCCCCTATGGTCCACAGCCTGTAGTGTAACCAGCTGTCAGGGCACATACCCTGACTTAGCCCGGACCCGGACCCGCATCCGGACCTGCTCCACTTCCCGCGCGCGCTTCCCGTGCCACATGATCCGTGCGCCGCATGCTCCGGTCCCCGGATCCTACCTCCATGTGACTTCTGGGTATCCCCGGAAGTTTTCGCCATATTGGGGCCACTGTGGGAAAGTGAGAAGTTAACCTTCTTCTCACTTTCTTACCCACAGTAGGCAAGTGTAGCCTACTTTCTATTTATCTATACACTTTCTTACCCACAGTAGCATTGTGCCCTGAGATGGGCTGTTACAGGTCAGGCTCTGGGTTATAGAGAGAGGGGTCATGGGGACCCGGGTTTGTCCCCTGACACCAGCCCTGTCCAGGGCACAACTCTACTGTGGGTAAGAAGATGAGAAGGAAGCTAACTTCTCATCTTCCCACAGTGGCCCCAATATCAGCAAAACTTCCGGGGATACCTGGAAGTCACATGAAGGGGTAGGAACCAGGCCCGGAGCATGCAGCGCACAGAGCATGCGCGCGTGTGGGAAGTGCAGTGGGTGGAAGCGGGTCCGGGTCCAGGCTAGTCAGGGTGTGTGCCCTGACATCACCCTCCCTCTAAGCCACTTTGCCCCGAAGTGGCCCTAGTCCCCAGGTACCCATCCCTCATGTGGTTAGAACAAAGAATGAAAACATAATAAAGCGGAGGCAGGAGCGGGAGTGGGGAATGATGTGATGGTGGAGGTGTAAAACTATTCTAAGTTAAAAAAAAAAGGCAGCGAAAAATAAGAGTTAAGTTAAAAAATTAAAGTGGTCGTCCATCGCCGCATATGTGGCGCTCCCCTAAGACTTGCCCGAAAAAAATTCGGTCCCTCAGCACCCTCCATTGTCTGCTCGCAACTCGGTGACCTCCAGCCTGCATCCCTCATCATCCCATGATGCCCCAATGGCTGCAGTCGTGTCGTCCCCGTGATCGCGTCCGGCCTTGGGGCTGCGCCCGCTTCGGGTATGTGTCAGGGGACGACTCCCGGGTCCCCATGACCCTCCCCTATGGCCCACAGCCTCAGGTCTGGCCAGCCCTATCTGTCAGGGGACGACTCCCGGGTCCCCATGACCCTCCCCTATGGTCCACAGTCCCAGGTGTAACCAGCCCTGTCCAGGGCACAACCTACTGTGGGTCAGAGATGTTCATAAATGAAAGGGTGTCAGGGACGCGTCCGGGGTAGAGGAGGCCCGGGTGAGACGCCCAACACTAGGAGCCTCGCGGGGTGTGGAGCAGGCGTGCGTACTGGCGGGCCCGGCTCAGGAGGCAGTCCCTGGCCACTTAGACTGAAGTGGAAAAGGGTGTTATTATTATTAGAAGGGAATACTATGTTACTTACCTGAAGTGGAAAAGGGTGAGAAGAAGGCTACTTCTTTGGTTCCCACTTCAGGTATGTTTATATACATGCGGCTTAGGTCACATGACGGGTGCCACGTCATCCTCGCATACAGCTGTAGTCACCCGGGTGTCCCCGTGGGGGATCCCGAGGGCGTCCGCTGTGAACGCGTGAGCTGGACATAGCAGGGGTTGCCCGAGGTGCCCGGGCTGGGCGTGTCGTGAGCGCGCTGCAGGTGGGTCAATGGTACATTGATACAAGGAAAGGTCGTCCGTGTAGAATAAAGAGAAAATAAAGAGAAGGTGAGATAAGTAAAGAGAGAGTGGAATGGAGAAAGAAAGAAAGAAGAAGGGGGGAGGAGGTAGGGGAAGACTGGGTGGCGGGGTACCGGGTGAAGTGGGGCCGGGTGGGGCCGGGTCAGGCAGGTGTGCCCTGACAAAGGGCAAGTATATACAACTTGCCTACTGTGGGTCAGAGATGAGAAGGAAGTTAACTTCTCATCTTCCCACAGTGGCCACAATACATCGAAAACTTCCGGAGATATCCGGAAGTCACATGAGACCCGAGACCCGAGGTCCGGGCCATCCGGCCGCACTGAGCATCCGGCACAGGGCGCGCGCGGGGAGTGCAACAGCCGGGTGCAGTCACGGGTGCAGGTGCGAGTGCGGGTGTGGATGCGGTATGGGCTAGGTCAGGGTGTATGCCCTGACAACAACCCTCCCTCTATGCCGCATGCCTAAGCAGCCATAGCAGGGATCCTGGGCACCCTCACCAGCGGCATCCATTCCCTCTCGTGCTCGTCCTCCGTTGTGAATCCAACAAGGCGCTTGCGTGCGCGCATGACTATCAGTCGCAAGTGAAAGTGGGGGTGGGTGGTCTCATCCAGGTTATCTTGGGCGTCTGTGGTTACGAGGCTGGCAGCGGGTGGGTGACCCCGTTTCCGGAGTGCTTTTCGGCCAGTTCGTTGGCAGCAGTCAGGTGGCTTTGTCTCCCTAGCGTGTTCAGCGAGGTGTCTGGGTAGTGGTGGGATAATGTGGGGAACCGGGTTGGTGGTCTCTAGCGGGTCATCATTCTTGCATCTGCGGTTACGAGGCTGGCAGCGGGTGGGTGACCCCGTTTCCAGAGTGCCTTTCAGCCGGTATTTCGGCAGCAGTTGGGCGGCTATGTCTCCTTAGCGCATTCAGCGAGGTGTCCAGGTAGCAGTGGGAATGACCCTCAACTCAACCCCACAGATTGGTGTGCAATCTGCAGGACAGTGTTGCAAGGGGCCGGGATAGCGGGGTGTGGCTGTGTCGCGAGTAGTGAACGTGTAATGGTCTGGGGGAAGTGATGATGTGGCACGGCTGCCACTCGAAAATCGCGTGCGCGGCCCATGCCCAGCTCCGACTCAGTCCAGGCTCTTGCGGCCCATGCAGGACATCCTAGGTGGGCAGGGGCGATTGTTGAAGCTTCCTTCTGCTGTCAGGGGACGGCTCCCGGGTCCCCATGACCCTCCCCTATGGTCCACAGCCTGTAGTGTAACCAGCCCTGTCCAGGGCACAACTCTACTGTGGGTAAGAAGATGAGAAGGAAGCTAACTTCTCATCTTCCCACAGTGGCCCCAATATCAGCAAAACTTCCGGGGATTCCCGGAAGTCACATGAAGGGGTAGGAACCGGGCCTGGAGCATGCGGCACGCGGAGCGTGCGCGCATGTGGGAAGCGCAGCGGGTGGAAGCGGGTCCGGGTCCGGGCTAGTCAGGGTGTGTGCCCTGACATCATGGAGAAATTAGGGTTTTGTGTTATTGATGAGGTGCATCTTGTCATACCTTGGTCACAGTCCTTCCGAGAGTCATACAGCACTGTTGTCACTCTGATCCCTCGTTCCATCCTACGTGACATTCCTTGCAATGTCAGGCTCCATGAACCAATTGATCGTAAGGACCTAGTCTATAGCACTTGTACCTTGAAGTATTCGATTACAGGCAGCGACTTCCCAGATCTGGCATGGCTCAACCCAGATAACCTCACAACTGCACAATCCATCACACCTACACTAATAGCAGTGGCAATGGTGGCTATTGCAAACGCATTAGTCAAGTGGCTACGAAAGAAACTCAAGGAAGTACTTACAAATGGAGAGAATTTAGTTTTTCCATTCCATTCAATTATACCCCAAGAGGATCGTCTGACAACGCTCCAGGAGCTCAAGGCTGGGACAGTACAAATAGTGGTGGCAACAACAGCAGCCCAGGTTGGATTAGACATGGCGATACGGAATGTCGTGATCTTGGATCTTCCCCATGACTTCGAGGCCATGACTCAATGGAATGGTCGTGCAGGTTGGGATGGACAGGGTTGCCATGCAATCATATACACGCCAGATGCGATCCGAATTGAAAATGTTTTTGACCTTGATGGTGACCCTGCAGGGGGACGAAAGAAGACCACGAATAGAGCTTTAAAACTCCGAAGTGACTTTCGAGACAGTTGCCCACCTGGTTTTGTTGACTACTTCAATGCTCCCTGCCTTCGCAAAGTCATAGGCGAATACTATGGGGAGCCATATGAGAAACCCAAACTGTGTTGTGAAGGACCAGGATGTTATCCTGGTCCAAACATGGAACCCTTACAAGCAGCAGAGCGATATGTTGAAAATCTAGTGCGCACCTGACAGTTGAATTCAGCCCACCTTCCACAGGACAAGGGGAACTTACCGAAGTATAATGCTGCGATGTTGCAAGTTGGGATTGAGAGCCTTCGAGTCTGGCAAGAGAAGATATGGATGGAGAGGGGAAGGGTTGGGGGCCTTACCAATTTGGACGCACCCTCATCGACTGTCTCGAACCATTCAATCGAGCTCCTTGCAGCAGGAATGCATCAGGGATATTCTGAAGAACGGATGAAGGCTTTAGCAGAGTCATGGGGGAGTCACAACGGACTTAGCGTTAGGGAACAGGAGCTATTGGTTGAGGTGATTAGGCAGTGTAATGGAGGTTGGGTGCAGGAATCCCGGAGTGTGGGAGGCAAGAGGAAAGAAAGAGCCACAAAAGAAAGAGCCACGGAGGCAGTGGCAGCACGGAGGCCGGGCGGTGGCAGCCTGGGAGGTGAGGATGAGGTCACCTCAGCATCAATACTTGGGCCAACATGGGGTGAAGGCAAACGGAAGGTAGTACTTACGAAGAAAGCAGCCAATGTGAACGACGATAACTAGCTGATGAATGATCATTGACGGCATCACCGTTTTGCTTTTCTTGGCAAGTGTCATATCCATACAATCCCGACCTCTGCTCTGGGCTCCCGGAACTCCGAACCAGACTTCCGGAGTCCTACTACCCTTCCGTCACCTTCTCCTTGCCGACTCCCAAGAGGTTATCCCACCTCCGGCTCTGACACACCCTTCGGTCTGACTCCGGAACATTCCGGGTCCGACCCCAACCTTGACACCTTCCAGACGAGTATGCAACACCTATGCTCCTGACTCCGGACCTCTGCTCCGGAATCCGTTTGCATCTCTGTCTCCAGAACCTCCAGTCTTAGCTCCGACCTCGGACTTTGACCCCACCTCCGCTTATACCCATTGTATTGGTTAGCTCATTCCATTTAATTACGTTTGCCAATATTCCGGAGTTTAACTTCCGAGTTCGGACTTTCCGGACTTATGTCAGACCTTGCAACTATTGCATTGCTCCATTCAGTTCCGCTATTCTCCCTCATTCCTATTTGGGCTACTGCTTCCTTTCTATTCAGTCAGCTAGCCATTCCCCACTCCCAACCTCCTTCCTTCCTCCTTGGGCCTTGGCCCTTCACTCTGCCTTTGGGAAACACCATTGAGTCAAACCCTTGACCCTCAGTGTTGTTCCTCTTTCCAGCTCCCTTTGTCTCCTTTCAGAGTACCCTCGCTCCTTTTGATTCCGGACCCCTCCTTATATACAATGTACATAGTAACTTGTAACCTCAGTCCGAAATCGACCTGAATTCCCCCCAAGAGACTTTCCCTCTGCTAGATCCGAAATTAGGGACCCCTAGGACAACCAGCAATGGCACAGCGCTCCGCATGAGTTGCTGAGGCCAAGGTCCTTCCACACTAAGTCTCTGATTCCACTCCGGAGTTGTCCGAATCCGCACGTTCTAACAGCAAGACCTCCACCATTCTCTAGCAGAGCAAGAGAAGCATCCTTGTCTTCAGCTGCTGTTATTTCATTAGACTTTGGCGTTGATGGTCAATGTGAGGTCACAATGTTCATATCGCCAAACACTGACCTTGCACTTAGCTCCCTGCTGAGTTGGTTTGCCCTCAAGTTTCTTGTCAAACCTTCGGGAATGTCAGGAATACATCATGGATTCACCTGAAAACGTGCGAGTCCACTTACTTCCCCATACTCGCTGTACTCTTCTTAGCATGGACAAGTGTTTTCTCAATCTGCATCTTTCGTTGTTGTTAGAACTGGGCGAGGGCGGACGATTCTGGAGGGGAACCGGAGACTTAGCAAGGAGGGACCTTGGCCTCAGCGACTCAAGCGGAGCGCTGTGCCATTGCTGTTTGTCCATTTGGTCCTTAATTTCATAGGAGGTGAGCAGGAAGTCTCTAGGGGACATTTCAGGTCGATTTTAGACTAAGGACTAAAACGAGTATGTACAAGCGCCGATATATATAATGGAGAAGGCAAAAGCACAGGGAAACAAAGGGGGTCTGAATCGGAATGAAGGCGTCTGAACGGGAACAAAGGGGTGACAGAAGCAGGGTGGTACCGAAGGTCATAGGGCAGAACCTGTGGTACGTCCAAAAGGAGGTAAGGAGGGCGAAGCCCAGAGGGGCAGGAGGATGAGGGGAAGTGGGGATGATGACTAACTGGCTAGAATGGGAAGAAGCAGCAGTCCAAATAGGGATGAGGGGAAAACGCGAGAGATACATTACAAGCGGCGAAAGAGCTGAAGATGATCCGTGGAGCTCGGAGGTTACGGAGGTTATGGAGGTTACAGAGGCGGGGTTGAAAGTCTGAGGAATATTGGCAATGGTGTTTACATAGTATGAGGTCACCAATGCAATGGACTAAGGCCAAGGTGGAGTCAAAGTCCGAGGTAGGGGCTATGACAGAGGCTTGGAGCAAAGGTACAAGCGGTGTCCGAGTATGAAGTATGGGACAGCGGTGGAAGGTTGTAACTTGGTGGGAGGTTTGCAGAAGAGGGCCAGAGGGAAGAGAGAGGAAAGAGGAAGGAGGAAAGGTGTCAGGTCCGAAGGTGAGTATCAGAGTGGACGGGAGAAGAGTAGGAGGATGACGGAAGGGTGGAGGTGTTGTGGGGAGGAAGCGGAGGAGTTGTAGGAGGGTGGCGAGAGGGGTGGTGTTCGGTCCGAGGTGAATATCGGAGCGGATGGAGATAGGACAGGAGAAGGACAGAGGTGTGGAGGTGGCATGAGGGGTGAGAGGAGGTGTGGTGTCAGGTGTGGTGTCAGGACTGAAGGTGAATATCAGAACGGGCAGCGGTAGGGTAGGACTCCGGAGGTGGTGAGGAAGGGGGTCCGGGAGTCGGGTCAGGATCGGGTATGCACAGATATGACAGTTGTGCTCGCTCCACCCTAGCGATGTTCACCAGGTGTTGTCGTTCATTCTTTTGGACACATCTGCGGACTGTTTGGTGGGAAGGGAGAAAAGAGACTCAAATACAGCCCGAGCTCCTTCACGTGCGAGTTCACTGAGATATGCCTTGCAATCAGCGCTATGACCACCATAAGCTGAATCCCATGTGGTTTAATAAAATTTGCGATACACGCACTGTGTCAGAGACCAGGTCGAGATGAAGGAGTGTCTCCGTGATGGAGGGCTTCAGCCTCAGCGACTTATGCCAGGAGCGCTGTGCCTAGTAAACACGTCCGTGCCCTAACTTACTAACTGGCCACCAGAACTGAAGAGGGTAAACTCTAGTCGATTTTATTACTGGAGTGTAACCTATGTACAAGTTAAGTATATATAGTTACAGTGAGGGCAGGTCCGCAAATGGCGGAGCTGAGCTAACGGGGTTAGACATTAGCCGATTGAATATTACCAATGAGTCGGGTTACGGGGTTAGCGGAAAGGCAGGCGATAACCCAGAAACAGAAAGGAGGGATAGGCCCGAAGGTGGGCTTTGCAGGGCAAGCGAGTGTATTGTCCAGCGGAGGCGGGAGTGTGCTAGCAGATGTCCGAGCTGTCCGGAAGCCTTCGGGGCTCCATACTTAGGGAGGCGTAGGTAATAAATTGAAAGGAGGGGGTGGTGACCATCAAGGGGTACCGAGGGAGTTGCGGAATACAGGAGCTCCGAGGTTAGTGAGGAAGGAGCGGGGGTAGACCAGAGGGATCGGAGGGATCGGAAGTCGATGGCTGGGGATGGATATGACAGTATCCCCTTCTTAGGCCTGAACCCTTGAAGGCCCAGAATTAGTAAGGTGAGGGGAGCTGTACTTACAGAAAAGAAAAAATGAAAACGGAAATGAGGAGTGGAGAGGAAGGAGAGATGAGAGAGGAGTTGGGGTTCCTAAGGGGCTTCAGGTCCAGGCTTATCTGGGTACCGAGAGTGGAACGCTTCGATGAGGTCGGAGGCATGATCGAGTTCCCCAGCAAGGAGCCATTGTGTCTCCTCGTCGGTCCCTTCATAACCTAGCCACTTGACCAGGTAGAGCAACTTGTTGTGTCTACGTCGGTCGATCTTGGAGTCGAGTATCTCCTCGATCTCGTACTCCATTTCACCTTCGATTTCTATGGGAGGCGGAGGTGGCTGGTGGCGGTTCGGAATGGTGTTCGGGACGGAGGGTTCGATCTGCGAGACATGGAAAACCGGGTGAATGGCTCGCATGTTTTCCGGCAGGTGGAGGGTGAGGGAGTGAGTTCCAACGTGGGCAATGATCTCAAATGGGCCGAGGTTCTTCTCGGAGAGCTTTTTGGAAGGTTGGGTGGAGCGGAAATACTTGGCCTTTACGTAGACCGAGGTTCCTACTTTGAAAGCTGGGGCAGGACTCCGGCAGGAGTCTGCAGGGCCCTGATAACGGATCTGAGCAAGATGCATTTCCTCGTGAAGGAAGTGATGGAGGGAGTCGAGATCTACGGAGTACTCTTGGGCACGTACTGATGTCAGGTCTCGCTCCGGGTGAACAGTGATGTTCGGATGGTAGCCTTTGTTGGCGAAGAACAGGGAAACGCCTGTGGTGGCATTCGGAGCGTTGTTGTATGCGAACTCCGCGAGAGGCAGGAGTTCGGACCAATTGTCCTGCTGGTAGTTACTGTAGATACGCAGGTACTGCTCAAGCGTCTGGTTCATCTGTTCGGTCTGACCGTCTCCTTCTGGATGATAACCGGAGGTGAAGTGGAGGCGGATGTCGAGGGCCTTACCAAGTGAACGGAAAAAATGAGAGACAAACTCCGGACCCCTGTCGGAGGTGACGTGGGAAGGAACTCCATGCTTGGAGAACACATGGAGGAGGAAGAGCTTGGCCAGTTCCAGAGAAGTGATGGTATCGTGAGCAGGAATGAAAATGCACTGTTTAGACAGGTGGTCCACGACCACCAAGATGGAAGTGAATCCGGAAGAGGAGGGTAGCTGTTTGATGAAATCCATGGAGATGGAGTTCCAAGGATGTTTGGGGATGGGGAGTTGTTTGAGCAAGCTGTAAGGCTTATGATGGGGGACTTTGGCTCAGGCACAAGAAGTGCAGGAGGACACATAACTCTTGACAAAGTTACGGATGCTCGGCCAGGTGTACTCACGATGTACTAGATCCAGAGTCCGGTTTTGACCGAAGTGTCCGGAAAGTTGGTGGTCATGTTTGTCTTGCAAAACACGGAGATGGAGATCGTTGGAATCCGGAACGTAAATGCGGTTGTCCAGCCTTAACAGGCCTTCGGCATCAACGGACCAGCGGGAATTGGGGAGGTTGGGGGAAGCGAGATGAGAAGAGATTGTGGTATCGGAGGAGAGGGAGGCTAGAATGTCTCGATGGAGAGCCTCTGTGTCAACGAGTACGGCTGCTTGGATTACTGTGGCAGCTAGGAACGTGGCTCGTAAGGATGCAGTGAGCTGCTCCGAAGTGAAGACCAGTCGGAAGTTCTGCAGGTTGATGCGAGCGTAGTCCATATCCCCTTCTTTGGGATAGACGTCCCAGCGTCTAGTCAATGCATCTGGTTTTACTCCGAGTCTTCCGGGACGGAATCGGACAGTCATGTGGAACTGGGACAGGAACTCTGACCAGCGAGCTTGCCACCGGGTCAAGAGTTTGGTGGTGGAAAAATACTCGAGGTTCTTGTGGTCGGTAACGACATCGATTGGAGTTCCTGAACCTTCAAGGTAGTGACGCCACAATCGGAATGCATCATGGATGGTGAGCAGTTCCTTATCATGGGTGTTGTAGTTGAGCTCCGGCGCCGAGAGTGTTCTAGAGCGGAAAGCGACAGGGCAAATCTCTCTGTCATCACAACGGATGGACAGGATTCCGGAGATTGCATAGTCGGAGGCGTCGGTTTCTACAATGAGGGGGGCGTTGGGTAGCCAATGTGTGAGGATAGGAGCAGAAGTGAAGGCTTCTTTCAAGGTGTTGAAAGCAGAGCGACAATCGTCAGAGAAT